GATGGGCTGAATTGCACAAAACGCATGATCGCACCAGCTAGTCTGGTGCGCGTTGCCATTTATTTGTATGAAGCCCGGTCGTTTTTTCGAAAAATGCTCGCTTTTTGAAAAAATGCAAATTTCCAGTTAACTAAAAAGTGAAAATGTTGCTACAGCGGTCGTTCGTCATATAATCCAAGTATGCAAATGAATTGAATGTTCATTTACATATTTGGATGACTGCGGCTGTTCACTGGAAAACGCACTCGTTTCTAATTTTCCAGTAAAATTGAGTATTTCTCGTAACCACCTGCAGGCAATTTCACTTCTAAGCACAATAAAGATCAAACATGAAAGTAGAATATCCTAGCAAAGTTTCAACCTCGCACCTTATCCGGTAAGCGAAATAGTCATTTCGCTGGAAATATCTTTGAAGTGCCCTAAATCGTGGCGCAAGTGCAAATCGGTACTCATTTTGGGCGTACAATTTCCCATTTGCAATTTTCCATGCTGTCAAAATTTCAGCCACATTTTTTCGGCAAGTTTTCGAGTTATCATAGTACCAAGTTGCGAAATTTGACATGATCATACGTGCTGCACAAGCGTCTGTAACAGATGAATTTGAAATGTTTTGTTCGCACATGCACAGAGAATATTCCTGCAGTGTTTCAGCTTTCTATCTTGCCTGGTTCGTAAAATCGTTTCCCACTAAAAAAATTTGCATATTTTTCTGGAGGCTCCGTACGCGGGGGTGTAGGTGCGTGTGAGCGAAAATTTTAAAATGGGAAGATGATAGCCGGGGTAGGAACATATACCCAAAATGTGAGCCTCCCAGCTTTCCTCGTTGCTGAGAGGAAAGTGGGTGACAAAATTCACTCGCTTGCGAACACACCCAGACGACTTTTCGACAAAAAGTTTTTGCGCTACAAAACGTTGCTATAACACTGCACAGCAAAAATGCATAAAAACAGACCCGAAGAGCCGCATTGCGTAACAAATCCCATCAAAATTCGACACAGCAGCAACGTAGTGAATTCATCACGGCACACCTGGAAATTCTTAATTTTATACTCAGCGAATTATAAGTATGACAAGTTCAAAGTACGAGAAAAATATGTCAACTTTCTGATATTCAGAGATATTCCTTAAAAGTGTTCCGTTATTCAAATAACTCAATTTCTTTCCTCCCTTCTTTGCCCCCTCACGCCTTCTCTACTCACAAAAAAAAGAAAAAAAAAATAGTTGCTCTCAGTGCTGTCTGCGATTTCTTCTTTTAAAAAAACCACCGCAAAGCAAAACCTGGACGAAGAGATGGACAAATTAGAGAAAGAAAAAGTTTGTTGTTTGTTGATTACTCTAGCAAATGAGTGCTAACTTGAATTTATTAGTGATACAAATTACCGAACCACCCTCACTTATCAAGAAGACTAGATGAGCGATGCGTTCGTCCGATTGGTTGCGCAGGGCTACATCACATACTCATAACATATGCATTTCCCGGAGTTAGAAAATGAGTAGAAGTTCGCAAAACCATCAACCTCGATTGCTTTGAGCAGTCGAAAGAGAGGCTCGTTGCTAAAACGACTGTTTGTGCCTGATAAAGGATCAAATCGGAGATAGTCGTCAGCACTTGCATTTTTCAACAGAAAACGATATGTCACTGGATTTTTCTCCAACTGCAAATGCATTTATGAAAAACTGATTAGCTATCAACATTATCAAAACTGGTGTGAGACCCGATGCTGTTGCTGCTAATAAGATGTACTGGAACGCCGAACATAGTTATGCCAATCCCTCTGGTTTCGTGGGCTCCATGCCTTCAGTTAGGGGCCTTAAATAAAAAATCTGGAGAAATGTGAAGTGAGATGGATAGCTATAGTATACTCTCACGCTGCCATCGAAAATCGGGCACCACATACATCCATGGGTGATATTTTACCAGCTGCAGGAGCATCCCTGTCAAATAAGTGGTAAAATTGGTGCTTTTAAGCCATGATCTGCTGCAGGAACATGAATATTAGGATAAAGCTCCAAAGATGTCCAGCGGCTACTCAGTGGTCATGCAGTGCCCGTGCCTGTCCTAGTTCGGAATTACCTAGGCCACATTCAAGCAGCTGGCTGGAATTTTACGCTCCAATATACTGTTCTCATTTTGATAAGGTATTTCTCTCATCGTAACGCAACTTCCGACTTTTTCTGTGAATTCGTTTAAAAAGATAAAATTTCATAATTTAAAATCCATACACAAATTACTCTCTACAAAAGGCGAAGGCACTCGGAAGAAGCCCAGTGGCAGCAGCATGCTACGGCAGCAATTACTTTTGAAGAACTGTTAAATGGAAATTGTACATTTACTTTGCAAAATTTATGGTAATTTATGCTAGCGACCGCAAAAGGTAGGTGTAAAGCAAAAGCCATTCATACAGTTAATGAGGGTATTTCAACTCGGCAACCAAGGAAGTTCCAGCGTCAAGATTTTGCTGTTAGGTTCTCCGGCCAAGTGTCACCCCAGAACTGCGGTGCTAATCCTCAAGCAAGTCTTCGCGTACAAGAGGCCTTCACACTGGAAGAGTAGCAGAAATCCCTCCACCAAGGGCTGCTTAGAAGCAAGTTGATGATGCTAGTACGATTTTACCAGATTTTTTAATAAATGCTAGTACGATTTTACCAGTGAAATGCATCAATCAATCGTAGAGAGAGTGGCTGTACCAGTGACGAAATGTGATCCCCCTAATTTTTAACTTTTATAGGCTATTTTAAAAAAGATTGGAAAATTTGGCACTTTACGCTGGTAGGCATGTGAGAGTAGTAGGTAACATCACTTACTACTGTGACATGCCTGCCAGCGTAAAATGCCATATTTTCCCGCAATCTTTTTTAAAATAGCCTACAAAAGTTAAAAATTATTTTGCTCATGTGTAAAACAAACAACTAGTTTACTCCAGTCTTTACGCATAAGCCATACTGAAGCAAACTGTGGCCAATTTCTTGCCTAAGTGAATTTTCTCCGACAAAGAAGCACCAAAAACTGCTCTAGGACAAGGATAAAGACAACGGCAACAATTATTCCAACCATGTTAATCAAACAATTTCTGCCAAAACTAACCGATTCGTCGTATAGTTTGGCGACGAGTTCTGCTTGCTCACGAACTTTTTGCGCATTGGCTCCTTTCAGTATTAAGTTAATGAGGTGCAAAATCGATTTTGTTATTTTCATCACAGGATTGGAGGCATCTCTAAAATAATACCTGCACCGCAAAATGCAAAATTTCACAAAAAAAGAAGAGAAAAACTAACCATTTACAAATATGAAGAACAGCAAGTCTCATGCGATGAGAAGCTGTGACGAATCGCAGGAGAGCAAACAACATTAAAGTGTAGATTTAACATATCTATTTTGATAATTTGGCCCTTTTAGATGTGAAGTACCTCAGACTGGATCTGACAGTGGCAGATTTCGCGGTAACATACAGAATCGCCTAAAATCTTGCCAAGTGCTTCTGATCGACGTTCACTAAACTGGTAGTCCCTTCGCGGGACGAAACGAGCATCAGGATCAATCCAAGACGCTCATCACCAAACACTGTAGCATTA